AGAGAGAGAGAGAGAGAGAGAGAGAGAGAGAGAGAGAGAGAGAGAGAGAGAGAACAAAGACTATCAGAGAGCCTTTGGTAATATCTGAATGAATCTATACAAACCCATCTACAAAACAATAAAACAGGAACTGTGGCATTCTAAGAGAGACAACTGTCATTCATGAGTAGCCTAAAAGCATGACAGCTAATTTGGAGCTTGCTAGCTGCACAAGACTTACTGTATGTCTTGGTTTACTAAAGGCTGGGAGACTTGCTTTCTTTAGTACATGTAAGCAATGATTATCAATATCTAGCAATATAGCATCAGCTTAGCTCTGAGAAAGCCTTAAATTTGTCTGTGGGTGTGAGAAAGTAACCGAGTTCGGGGATATGCTAGCCTACATTTATTATACTGTGCATTGCATTTGCTCGTGACAGGCTGACAGAGTTCAAGAAGTGTGTGGGTTCTGTTTCTTTGGTGAGTTGTTTCAGCAAGCTGTCTCAACAGCTACTTCCTTCTGATTAGTTGGCTGTAGCCATAATGGGTTTATGATAGCCAATGAACTTGTTGGCAGCAGCCAGATGGCCATGTTGGGCAGCCACCCAGTAAGGGTGAGCCCAGTGAGGTTTCTTCCGGTATCCTCCCCCAGTTTCAAGTCTAAACTTCCGTGTTAGAATCAGAATTATTAAAACTATACTTTCACCAAGTCCACTTAATTCTTTAATTCTTATTGAACCATCTGCCAAAATTGTTTTTCTAGTGTTACATTCCACTTTAGAAGTAAGGACTAAATTAGTAAATATATGAGTGTAAAGACCGATGGCCACCACCATGGTGCCAAATCCAATCCACCCAGTTAATTTGGGTGGTAATGGTCTGTACTCCTTTCAGGAGGAGTGCAGACTGAGGAACATGTACTCCTTATAGCATTATAACTCCTTATAACGGCCAAGGCGTTGGTCTCAGTCCCTGTCTGGTAGACAGTACTGTGGTCTTAGCACCTCCAGGACTGCATTCCTCTCCTGAGGTCTGAAATAAGTCAACCTGAAACACACCTGTTCCTCTCTTTGCATCTTTGAGATGCCTTGTTCCCACTCATTTTCTCAGAATAAGCCAGGCCCAAAGTACCAGGCAGTCCTAGATCTACCCTCTCAGATGCACCAGTGCAATGGAAGAAAAAGAGGAGTCACTTTATCAGGGAACCATTTTTCTTCCTTTCATTTCCTTGTCCCCTCATACATTTCTATATCTCCTGGCTTCCTCTTGTGTGCTCTTCTCAAATTCAGCTGAGGTGAGAAGGGGTATGGACTATATTGGAAAGAAGCTGGGGCATCCTGGGAGATGGCAGTGACATCTGGAAGTTTTTATCTATCTGGTATTCCCTTGACTTTCTATCATTCAGATCTATGACCATGTTTTAATTAACCCCCCCCCACACACACACACACTCAACTGGATGAAAAGGGAAACATTCTCAGGCTGGTTATTTTGGAGCATAAGGACTCATTCTTCTATTGGTATTCTAGTAGAGGCCAATCAACTCCTTGCCTCAGGCTTGGGGAATTCAAGTGTTAAAATAGAGAACTTGAAACCGAGGTAGAGAGAAAGAGCTACCTCACTTACTAGGCTGCTGAAAGAGGCTTTTAATTTTGTTGTTGTTTTATTTTCACTCACATGTATTAACCCCCTTAAAGTCGTGAGTGATTAAATCTAAGTTGTATCAACACATCTTCTTGTGACAATAGCTACTGACTACGTGTTTTTGTCTTCAGTCACCACAGGAGCCATGCTGGGAATTAATGGAGCAATGGAGCTGCTCTTCAAGGTCATTTCTCCTTACACCCGAAAGCACACCAGGACAATCAGGTACAGGGCATGTTCATGGTGCCCCTGGGCACTGTGTGATGGATGGCAAGATAAAAATGGCTGCCTTTAGATCTTGATGCTTCCGGTCCAATCTGTTGATACCTTCTTCCTTGGAGATGTACGGTGTCTGTACCCCACATCAGTCTGCATCTCTACCTCCTCCCAAGGTTCTCATTTCCTCTTATCCCCATAATAATTCCACATGAACATAGAACTTTTAAGCTAAAATGCAGAGAGAGCTTGATGTAAGGTTACAATGATAGGGAATGGCAGAGGTGAAGTTTAAATCCGTATCATTCAGATTGGAAACCTCATGTTCTCTTTTGTTGTTGTTGTTGATTTTGGTCTGGTGCATTCAGATAAATGCTTTTTACCTGCAGTGATAAATGAGCATAATCCTCACAAGATAGCCCAGAATGTGACAGGGTCTCAGAAGAATCAGCCAGTTTAACTTCTTAGATGAGTTCTGAGCCTTCTAATAGTTCATCATGGTTGTGTGCTGGTCTTGTTATGCGGTTTTATGATTGGAGAATGAAACCTGGCCTCTTCTCTCTCTGCCTCTGCATCCTGGAGTGGAGTGAATCACTAAGTTAAAAAGGGAGATGGTTTCACATAAAGGCTTTAGAGATATTCGGCACCATTAAGATCCATCATTTATGGGAGTGACTCAGCGAGGACCTTGAGAGAATATTAGAAGAAATTCAGCCAATTTCTAAGATATATGGGGTCATTTGGCAAGTCGCATTTCCATGCCCAGCCATGATATTTTCTGCATCCTAGCATCAATCTTAGGCTCGTGTTTCACCTGATTATTTTTCTCTTGGGTCACCACAGTTACGCCATCATCATCCATTCTCACCTACAGGTTCTCTACACCAGCGTTTCCTGAAGTGAAATACATTACATATCAGCCAAAAAAAAAAAAAAAAATGGCCCCATCAAATAAATTGAGAACTTCTGGGTTAAACAAAGTGAGATAGGTTTCTTTACTGTATAGCCTCCCAGAGCCTTTTTTGTAAAACTTATGCACACCGGGCCTATCTCTGTAGTGTGCTCCATTCCAAGACCAATTTGGCCAGGAAATGCTGCCTGTTACATACTGCCTTTTAAAAGGGGCTAGAACAGTATGCATTTCATTTCGGATATTTACACTCTAAAGTAGAAATTTGTTGCAAAGTAGGAGTCAGCACAACTTCACCAAGGCTCACTTATATGGTAGGTGAAAAACCTCAGGGTCAAAACTAAGGGTAAAAAGAACCCCTTTATTTTTCTGTTGTAGCTTTACTTTATTTTGGTCTTAAATGTCCATTGCATCAGATGACAAAAATTCTCATCAGGAATCAAGTCAGATTAGTGATTCTTTAGGCCATGATTCCTTCCTTTGTATTGCATTCCTCTTCTGGGCCTACAGTCTAGATTTTAAGAAACTGTGGATGGCAGTGAGAAATGCTGGTGGAGAACACAGCTTGTCCTTAGTTGTCTGTGCCCATTGGGATGCTCAGCTTTTGGGTATGTTTAACTTTGACACTGTGCACTGCCTTTGCTGCTGAGATCTGCAGTCTCAACGTGTCCTTTGGTCACTAACACATAAACTTTACACTCCTGTCTTAGTCATAACGGTGTCCCTAAGATTCTGTTGCAATTGTTTGTTTTTTCTCGTATAGTATGTGAAAATCAATGTACTGTTCACTGTGCCCTTGTACAGATGAGCCTCTCCCAGTAATCTCTTCCTTGCCATGAGCACCATGTTGTCCTTGTCCTTGTCAGGTAACCTTGGGTCTCAAGGCATGAGGTCCTATGATTTTCCACTCCTGATGGCTTCTGTTGTCTTTGTTATTAAAGCCAAGATTGGGAGGACAAAGCAACAAAAGCACCGTATGTAAGACAATCACAAGTTATAGCATAGACGTCCCCTTCTGAGGGACAACTACCGGACCCTCTGCATTGCTTTTCTTTCCTTTTGCAAAAAGTCAAGTTCAGGTACAGAGTTGATCAAGGGGCCTCAGAACCAGAGATCAACAGAGGCGGGATACTCCTAAGAATAGGAAATTGGCTGGGTGTTGGTGGCGCACGCCTTTAATCTCAGCACTCGGGAGGCGGAGGCAGGCAGATCTCTGTGAGTTCGAGGCCAGCCTGGGCTACCAAGTGAGCTCCAGGAAAGGCGCAAAGCTACACAGAGAAACCCTGTCTCGAAAAACCAAAAAAAAAAAAAGGAAATTGTCAAGGATCTCAGGGGTATTTTTTAAGTGCTATACCATTTCTGGTATGTCTAGTCAGTCTTAGAAATTTTGTGCCAGATAGTCCCCATTCTTAAGCAAAATGCCAAACTAAAAACCAAACGTCACTGAGAAGAGGACTCTTCCCAATGTAGTTGCCATCATCACAGTGTTGATTAGGTGCCTAGCACAGTGTTCAGCTCCTAGCATGCCTTGTCTCATTTGAGCCTCTTTTTGTCTTTGAGGCAGGTGCTATTATTGTGCCTAAATTTACAGGGGAAAACAAGGGGAGCTGAAAGAAGCTAAGTAACCTGCTGGGGATTTAAGTGAAAGAGCCAGGATTTCAGCGCAGCCTGATACATGAGCCTCAGCTTTTAAAGCACCGTTGGAGTATCTTGCAGTCTATTTCCAGTGTTATGTCTCCAAAACCACCACATGTAAGACAACCATAAGTAGTTAAACTTTGCTTAAATTTCCTTTACCGTCTAAACGGTTCATATCTATGGAACAATTTGCTTAATGATAGGGAATCTTTCTCTTCAATTGAATGGCCATTTCCTCTCAAAGGCTAAATAGCTATTCTCCCGGCTTTTGAATTTTTCCCCAAAGCTACTCTGTGTTCTAACCTCCAGTCCCTTACACTTCCACTTTCCAGCTAGAAGATAAGAAATGAAGGCCCTGAAACCAGAAGATGCCCCCCTAGCAGCTCTAGCTGATTCTTTTGTTAGCTGCCTCACCTTCCTTAATTGACTCTGCATTCCTCAAAGTATGAATGTCAAGTCTTACCTTATAGGTTTGTTGTAGATGTTAGAAATAATGGCTAGAAAAGTCTGTGCAATTTGACATGCTAGGATATGTCAATCACCTGTAATAGAGATACAGCTAAGTGATAGGCTGCCTGCCTGAGGCCAGACAGCTTCCATAAGCACCATCTTCCAAACCTCAACTAAGATGAACCCCAATAAATTCCACTTAATTTCCTGCACTTGCATACCAGGAGGTTTTGAGGGTTCTTCCAGGGGAGGATATGGTAGCACACCTGTAGGACATGAATAGCCCCCGCTCCCCCCTGAGTATCATCCTGCAAACCCTTGCAAGCTATGGGAGAGTTATTCCAGGATGCCTTTGTGAGAGCGGGTGCCCAGTGTGGTGCCACTGTGACTCCTTCCTCCTGCGGAGATTAAACCTGCTCTACTTCTCCTATGGGTCCCTAAAATAGACATGCAGCTGTCCTCCGAACTCCACTGATACTCAGGGAAAGATTTATGACTGCAGTTCCCGCCTTGCTAGGGAGAAAGGGCCTGTGTGGCAATATCATGAGCCTCCTCCTGTGGCCTTGTTCCAGCTTGCATGCCTGGAGGGCAGCCATTCCAGGCCTCCTTCATTTGCTAGATGCCCACTGTGTTGGCACTCTTCACCAATGTACTCTTGTGTTGGCTTGTGTCTTCTCTCTTCCCTTTGCTCCCCATGCCTGCCATTTTGGTCTGAACAGTCATGGTCAGACTTGGAAGGCTATTATAGCCCTCTAAGTCATCTTCCCTGACTAGAAACCATCAAGAAGGTGCTTCATTTATCCCCCATCCATGTCTCACTACATTATCGAGCCAGCTGTCTCTATGTGTGGCTTTGCTCCAGGAATGGTGTTGCCGCTTTATCAAAGGATAAAACTCCATGTTGGCGAAGTCAGGGAGAGGGAACCATCTCTCATCAAAGACGCTCTGGAATCTTTTTCATCCTTTTCTTCCACCCACTTTGTACTTAACCTTATACAGTGGTACCCGAGTGTCTTCTCTTCCCTCTAAATTCTCTGCTTATCAAGATAGAAATTGAACCACGTCCTTGTTTTTCCCCACAGGGTCTAGCTCCTATGGTAGATACTTAAATTAAAAGATTCTTAATTAAAATTCAAATTAAAAGGTTTGCACATAATAATCATTCTTCTTTGTAAGGTACTATGTGATAATTTGATGCAAGCATGCAATATGTAATGAGTAAATCAGGGCAATTAGTGTTTCCACCTACTAATGTTGGAAATTCTTCACAAAGTTTGCTTTGTGTGTTATTTTGGGCAGAGACAATGCTAACCATCTCTGTATTACTCCAACATTAGTATGTATAATGTCAGAATATGCATCAAAAGAACTATTTTAACTAAAAGATGTTGGTGAATTCTAACGTATCAAAAAGTGAACTCCAGCATCTGTTGAATAAGTCACTTCATATTTAGTGTCATCTTTGTTCATGATCCCATGCTGGATCTACATGGGGCTTCTGCCATGTATCTAAACATACCTGAAAACTCATGTGGCCACTCTACCAAGAACTGTGTGATATGAGGGACTGAGGAACCTCGAAGAAGTCAGTCAAGAGACGAGAAGCTGGAGCCTAAGCTTTAAAGGGAGCACGGTTTTGCTCACTGGAGGAAGGGAAGTGTTAGAGCCCTGCATCTTTGTTAGTGTTGTCCATGGGAGCTGACAGGTTGGCAGAGGAAAGGTTCAAAAGTTGAAGGGCTTTGCAGGAGGGGGGGGGCAGCACTGATATGAAAATGTTGCTTCTCTTTGAGTTAGATTGCCTGTGTTGGTAGAATCTGTGGGGTGCACTATAGAAATTGAGAGAAGGAAATGATCCTAAGGCAGAGACTTAGGCCCTTTGCTAGCTTGGTCCATGGGTGGACCAGTTTGTTTATCTGCACAAAGCTGGCCTGAAGCAGTCCAAACTCACCAAGCAAGAAAATGTCCTGAGGCAAAGGTGATCAATCACCCACAGGTGCTCAACTCCTTGTGA